GAGAGGGCTGTATTTTTTTTAAAAATCTTTATCTATTTGTCGTATATGATTTTTTTGGTAACATCGGTTCCCTTTTTTGGGCAGGGCTTTAAAACTGGTCACGTGCTCGACGCTGATTGGTGGAAGAGAGGGCGTGGCTCTGAGGTCTGATATTTCTCCAAGTACACTGTGAAAGCGTGCCTGCTGTTTGTACCTTCTTGACCTGCGACGGAATGGAGTGCAACAAGGATGAGGCCCTTAGGGCAAAGCAAATTGCAGAGAGGAAGTTTGAATCCAAGGACCTGCAGGGTGCCAAGAAATTCGCACTCAAGGCCAAGTCTCTCTTTCCGGATCTTGAGGGCATTATGCAGATGATCATCACCTTTGATGTTTACCTTACATCAGAACTGAAGGTTGCTGGTGAGAATGACTATTACTCTATCCTCTCTGTGGACACGTCAGCAGATGATGAAACTGTGAAGAAGCAGTACAGGAAGATGGCACTTCTACTCCATCCTGACAAGAACAAATCAGTGGGCGCTGAGGGTGCTTTCCAGTTGGTTAAAGAGGCATGGACTGTGTTATCTGATAAAACCAAGAGACTGTTGTATGATCAGAAAAGGAAAGTAGTTGTACTACAACAGAAGACAGCCCAATCAAATAGGACAAGTGCAACTCAAGGTGCAACCAATGGCTTCGAGAATTTCGCAGCCAAATCACCTGCTTTCAAGCCAAGAGCAAACAAGCCAAAGACAGGGTCAACAACATCTGCAGCGCGCCAGCGCCCGCCCCCACCCCCACAGCGCCCGCCTCCTCATCATCAGGCTCCACCTCCAGCAATGAAGGACACATTTTGGACCTCATGCAACAAATGCAAGATGAATTTTGAATATCTCAGAGTGTATATAAATCATACTCTTCTCTGCCCTAGCTGCCGCGACCCATTCCTTGCAAAAGAGGTACCGGTGCCACCAACTGAGGATGTTCATGCAGTACGGGGCTCAAACATCAGTGGTGCACCTCAAGATGCAAGCACTGGGAGAAATTTTCAGTGGGGTCCATTCTCAAGGGCAGCTGGTGCAGCCAGTGCTACTGCATCGTCATCTGCTGCGGCTCAAGCTGCTAATATGGTTCATCAGACATATGAGAAAGTTAAGAGAGACAGGGAGGAGGCACAGGCAGTAGCAAGAAGGGAAGAAGCTTTTCAGAGGAAGCACAATCCTCTAAAAAGGCAAGCAGATGTGTCAACGAACCATGGAATGGGCGATACTGCATTTGGAAAGAAGATGAGAACTGATGCTGGAGTTGGTTCATCCATTCCCTCAGGTCCATGGGCCCAATTTGCTAGAATGCCAGTTGGAACTATACCATTTTCAACCAACAGTGCCTTTGAGTTTCAGATTGTTAATGGTGTGCCCACTTGGAAGCCCAGGCCTGTTACTCGGCTCAGCGTAACTAAGATTTTCTCTAAGTCAGATCTTAAGAGAATTTTGATTGACAAGATGAAGAGCGATTTGAAGGAGAAGCTAAGTGAGATACGAAGTAGGCCAATCCAAGTTACCGTTGATGGTCCAGCGAGCAAGAAATATGTTGAGGTTAGCAAAGCAACAGTTGATTCTACTGCAAAGAAAGATGTTTGTGTGGATCCAGAGGAGAATGGTTCTGCTAATAGCAATGGTTCTGCTGATAGCACAGCTGCTGGAAATGAAGACGAGGACCCTATGTCTTATACTGTTCCTGATCCTGATTTCCATGATTTTGATAAGGATCGTATCGAGGAATGTTTTCAGAGTGATCAAATTTGGGCTTCATACGACGATGATGATGGCATGCCTCGTTTCTACACATTTATCCAGAAAGTTATCTCCTTGAACCCGTTTAAGGTCAAAATAAGTTACCTCGAGTCGAAGACGAATAGTGAATTTGGACCATTGAGTTGGGTTTCTTCTGGCTTTGCAAAGACGTGTGGTGATTTCAGGATTGCCAAACATGAAATCTGTGACGTGGTCAACATGTTCTCTCACCAGATTAAATGGGAGAAAGGCCCACGTGGGGTGGTCAAAGTTTACCCACGGGAAGGCGATATCTGGGCTTTGTACCGAAACTGGTCCTCTGAATGGGATGGAGATACTCCAGACAATGTGCTGCATGTCTATGATCTGGTTGAGGTACTGGATGATTATGACGAAGATCATGGAATCTCTGTAATTCCCTTGGTTAAGGTTACTGGATTTCGGACAGTTTTTCAGCGTCACCAGAACAAGAACGTCATCAAGAGGATTCCAAAAGAGGAGATGTTTCGGTTTTCACATCAGGTCCCCTTCTATAGGTTGTCAGGGGAAGAGGCTCCAAACGTCCCCAAAGATAGCTATGAGGTAGACCCAGCTGCAATTCCGAAGGAACTTCTTCAGGGGATCACAGAAACAGCGGAGGAGGCAGAAGGAACTTCTAAATCCAGTTGAGATGGTTGATGCTGCGACTCCGTTATACTTTTGTTGACCTGCCCGCCGTTTTGCATCAGACTTTTGTTGGCACTAGCTAGTTTCTATAGCATTTCCTAGCTTCTATACTTTTGACAGTTACCTTTGCATACAAGGGCAGGTCTGGGATTAGCCATTCCTGTCTTGTATGCCATGTGTCTTGGCCGTCTCATCAAGGAAGCTCATAATGTGAGTAAGCGGCGGTCATTTTGTATGTCAGAAAAAAGTCTCTTATATTATATGTGCTGTTTTACCTTGTCGAAAACTTGGAAATATGTGCTATTTTACCTTGTCCAAAACTTGGAAATATGTGCTGTTTTACCTTGTCCAAAACTTGGAAATATGTGCTGTTTTACCTTGTCCAAAACATGGCATTGCTGATATTGGTACTGTTTTTCTCTTTTGCTTGTCTGCCATGTTGGCCTTTTTAGTTAGAGGAACTCTTCTGTTCCTGGCCCATTATCCAAATATACATATGTTGTTAATAATAATCTACCATGAGCAATGCAAACCATTCAACAGTGTTTGTTTCCCACCGTTTGTCTTATTCCTATTTAAGCATACAAATCATCATGCAAGATACTAGAAGTTTGTTCCGTAAGATGCCATGTGGACCGTGGAGTGACGTTTCGACTCCAGATGGTCTAATCTTTCCCCTAGAGATCCGACCTTTGCTAAGCAATGTAGAAATATAGTTTGTTTACATCTCTCTAGTCGTATGAGGATTAATTGTTTGTGATTTTACCTGTTTTATTACTGCTCATCATAATACAGCTGTTAGAGCTTACCATTGTGGGTGGTTCGTGTGGGTGCTCTTACCCACCACACTCACTCTTTCAGGCCGTCACCGGCAAACTACAGAGTTCATCATTAACAGTGGTAATATTAGTATTTGTGGCTGAAGATACTGACATTTGTGGCTGAAGTGTATCTTTTGTTCTTATCTGCGAGCGAAGCTTTTGCCTTTTTCCTCGCAGAGCTCATTTCCATTTGTCCTGGTGCTAACCGAACCCCGAGCGGCAGCATTGTCTGGGCATAATGCGAAGAAAGTCCTTTGGAGCGCATCATCCGTTTCGTCTTCAGGTATGCATACTGCTGTCCTCCACACACCGTTTATGTATCAACAGCCTTTTCTTCCACGCGTGAAGTGTGCCGAATGGATCCTATATGTATGTACAATCACATCCAGCTCAAAAGCGCACCAGTTTTTGCCATCTTATGCTCAAAGGAATCATCATCAACCTTAGCCTCCTATCCTGTGCACATGAGGCCAAAGAAATGCCATGTTTCCAGCATGGGCGCACGCAAGTTTATTTTTTCTCCTCTCCTTTTGGGGGGAAAAGGAAGAGTTTTATTGCCGTGGTGCTCTTGATAACGAGAGTGCCTTGCTGTTTCTGGAAACACAAAAACTCCGCTCCTGCTGGCGGCCTCGAACCAGATCCGCCGCACACCGCGGTCTGGTTCAGAACCAGTAACAGGCGGGCAAACGTATAAATGCAGAGTATTGGAATGAAAACAGCATGGTTATTGCTGGGGTTGCAAAGGCGCGTGCAGCCAGCCTATATTTATGCACATATCGCACGGTCTGTTATGCAGGAAGGCTTGTCAGCGCGCCGTCTGTGCTAACTGTATCTCTTTTCAGTTTGCTGCAGCACTTGATGTTTTGCCGGAGTTAGCTTCTGTCCGCAGGGAAGATCAAGGTACCTAGTAGCAGCACTTCATCCTCGCGTCATCGACAATTCGGTGTCGGTTAACTCTGCATGTTTCCTTGGATTCAGTTGAATCGATTCAATTCCGATTCCCTTGTGACACCTGTTGTGTCGATAATTGAGTGTGAGTTAATAGCTGAGGCGGGCCTGACCAGAGAATTTGCCCGTCTGTTTTGGTGGCAGCCCCCTTCCCTTCCCTGGTGGTGGACTTGGTTTTGAACGGGTTGGCGGATCTTCATCTTGGTTCCGTGCCGAACTCGATCGATCGATCGATCTATTCCGTAGTGTAATCTGAAGCATATGAGGGTTGTATCTTGTATATGTACTTATGTAGTATGTGTGCTGGAGGAGCTGTGTGGCTCTAGTGCTGGAATCTACTTTATTTGTATGCAAGCCCAGCCAACTCACAGTAATCATAACCTGAGGACCCTCTATTCATTTTGAGGACAAGTATTTCCGTGCTGCCGTTGGTCGGCGGTGGCTCATTGCCGTGCAGAGTGTGCAGAGTGTTGTAGATCAACGTGGAGCAGAGGGCCACTTGCAGCTGGAACTCCTCCAGGATGTAGCTGTGGCATGCCTCCCTACGGCGCTGCAGCGTTGGCTCAAAGATGTCACTGAGGCCTCCAACAGGAACAGGGAACCCGAAGCCCCCGTCGCCCTCGCCATTCATTCCGCCAGCATCTCCCCCCGCCCCTCCCGTTTGACCGACCGCCCACCACCACCCGCCCCATTCAAATCCCCCGCCGCCGCCACCGACCTACCCACCCGCTCACCCAGTAGCCGTTGGCCAGCCACCCGGCACGGACTCGCCCAGCCCGAACCCTAGCCGCCCATGGTGTCGCGGGGGCTGTTCGGCTGGTCCCCGCCGCACGTGCAGCCGCTCACGCCCGTCTCCGAGACCTCCGAGCCGCCGGAGTCGCCCTCGCCCTACGCCGCCGACGCATTCGGCGTCGGGGACCCGCCCCGCCACCCCGACGGCGCGGGCCCCGAGGACGGCGACGAGGGGGCCGAGGGCGAGGACCCCGAGCCCCCGCCCGCGGCCGTGCCCTTCAAGCGCCTCTTCGCCTGCGCCGACCGCCTCGACTGGGCGCTCATGGCCGCGGGCGGCGCCGCGGCCGCCGCCCACGGGGTCGCGCTCGTCGTCTACCTCCACCTCTTCGGCCGCGCCATCAACTCCCTCCACGGCCGCCACACCGACCAGCTCTTCCGCGACATCAAGCAGGTGCGCGCACGCCCCGTCTTCCCCCCCGCAGCAGCCGCAGATCTCACTCTCACTGCCATGCCGGCTCCATGTTTCGGTAGCTAGCTGGGTACTGGATTCGGTTACAACATTTGTGATAGTTCCGCCTAACTTGCTCAAACAGAAGAGGAGATGATCCTATGGAGAGATTTGCTACTGTCAGTTGCTGTTGGAGTCCTGGTGTACTGTAGATGTAAATTGTAGTCGATGATGTGATGTTCTGATGTTTGGCAACTAACACTTCTTTACTCATGCGCGCTGCTTAGCTTGACGAGATTATTGGTGTCATAATTTGTCGGTTGGATGGGTTGCTTTATAGGAAGGGGATTATAATTTGTAGCATTTTTTCTGGATGGAAATACCGACAAAGGAATTTCGTTACGACGACCGTTTAAGTAGGGTTAAGACGTTTTGTGGACGGGGTACCGACAAGAGAATCTAGTTCAGGATGACCATTTAAGCAGGGTTAGCCAATTGAGGCCTGTGTACTACTTGTCGATTTCCGCATAATAATTCAACGATGTCCTGCCAGATCAGGATGGCACTTTTCCAACCAGACCGTGACGTCCGACATGCTGGCTGTGCTTAACTAGCTGCATATCTTTCATTAGTTCTGAGAATGCATTTTTATGGTTTTCAAAAAGTGATAGATGCATCTGTTTAAGTAATGCTATATATTTATGGTTTTCCTGCAGTACCTGGGTGTAGTTAGCAATCTGGGTTCTCTTAGAACATTTGTGCTAGTTTCGTTCTAGTTCTGCCCAATTTGCTCAAACAGAAGAGGAGATGATCCTAGGGAGAAATTTGCTTCAGTCAAGTGCTTAGGACTGAATGTGAAGATGTGCTGTCTTAGTCCTGGTGTACTGTTCATATAAATTATAATCAATGTTCTGATGTTAGGAGAAGTCTGCTTAAATCAAGTGCCTAGGACTGAATGTGGCTGTTCAAGTCCTGGTGCACTGTTCATACAAATTGTAAATCGATGACGTTCTGATGTTTGCCAAGTCATACTTCTTTACTCATGCCTGCTACTTACATTGTTTTACGAGATTGTTGCCATCACAATTTGCTGGGGTTGGATGCACTGCATGGGTTGCTTTATAGGAAGGGGATTATAGTTTATATAATTTTGTCGGGATGGAACACCGACAAGGGAGTTTAGTTAGGATGACCGTTTAAGTAGGGTCAAACCATTTGGTGGATGAGATACCGATAAGAGAATTTAGTTCGGGATCACTATTTAATAGGGTTAGCCATTTGGGGGCCATGTGCTCGCACTGTGCTCGGTAGCGGCCAAGCTCATGGGTTCTTGTTTGGGCTAGACGACACGTAAGGGGTAAGGCGTACACGAGGTCCCAAAAGTAGTACTTGTTGCTTTACGCATACAATTCAATGACGTCCAGCCAGATCTGGATGGCTCTTTTCCAACCAGATCGTGACGTCCGACATGCTCGCTGTGCATGGCTGGCCGCATATCTTTCATTTGTTCTGATAATACATTTTTATAGTTTTCAATTCCTGAAGATGATGCTACGGAGAAATCTGCTTAAATCACGTGCTTAGGACTGAATGTGAAAATGTGCTGTTCGATTCCTGTACTGTTCTTTTTAGGTGCTACTGTCAATATAAGTTATAATCGATATGTACTGTTAATATAGATTATAATTGATGTTCTGCTGTTTGGTAAGCAGTAGTTATTTATTCATGCCAAGATTATTGTCATCATACTTATTCCATTTGCTGGGGTTGAATGTGCTGCATGTGTTTGCTTTAAAGGAAGGGAATTATAGCATTTTATCTGGATGGAATACCGACAAAGGAATTTAGTTAGGATGACCGTTTACGTAGAATTAACCATTTGAGGCCTGCACGCTCAACCGGTCACCCCACTCAGTAGCGGCCAAGCGCATATGTTCTCCTTTGGGCTAGACGACGTGAAAGTAGTACTTGTTGCTTTCCACATACAATTCAATGGATACACCAAAGTTCGTGTCAACCACAATCTGGATGGCTCTTCTCCAACCAGATCATGACGTCCGACATGCTTGCTGTGCGAGGCTGGCTGCATATCTTTCTCTTTTGATAATTTATTTTTATGGTTTTCCAAAAATGATAGGCACATCTGTTTAAGTAATGCTATTTATTTCAATCCAATATGATCTGACTATGCTCTGTAATTGTTCTTACTGCATTATTGTGCTGAGCTCATACCATCTCAATTTGGAGCCCCAACTTGCTATTATGATTTTCTACTTATGTTTACCTGATTAATTTTCTATTTCACTTGTTTGTATGTGAATTTGAATGCAAACCACGCTTTCTACAAATCCATATGGAAGAAGAGAACCACTCTCGTGAATCTTTACAAGTTCATGCTTGAAATTTCGTTTGCATGAACCTTTGCATACCGGTCTATGGGAAACTTGTAACTTTGTCATGCTTTTCTGTACAGATGTTAGCGCTCACTTATCAATTTTGTAATTTGCCACGCTACGTGTAAATACTGCATATTAGCTGTCTTTTGTCCCAGAAAATGTTTGTGTATCGTTCACTTGTCTTGCTGTCTGCCTATAATAGTTTTTCTCTACCAGATTATTTGTCTTTGTGTTTTACAAGTCACCCTTTTTGTTGTTGGCTCTGCAGCATGCTTTATACTTCCTCTATATAGCCATTGGTGTGTTCTTTGCTGGATGGATAGGTAAGATGAGTCTGCATCAACTTATCAAAATCACTAAACGGTCCTTGTACATTTTGCAAATTTCATTAAGTCTGCTGTATTTACAGAGGTTTCGTGCTGGATTTTGACTGGGGAAAGGCAGACAGCAGTGATAAGGTCAAAGTATGTCCAAGTCTTGTTAAACCAAGACATGAGTTTCTTTGATACCTATGGAAACAATGGTGATATTGTTAGTCAAGTGCTGAGTGATGTCTTGCTCATTCAGTCTGCCCTGAGCGAGAAAGTGAGTTTTCATTGCTGAACCTTCTTAATTATTGATAATGAATTGTGTTACATATCTGCTCTATAGTCTATTGAACCATTCTATAGTTTATCTTGCTGTTATAAGGTTCATTCAGTCTTATGATTAACCTTCTTAACTGTGGATAATAAATTGCATGCTTGATTGTCTGTTTCGCCATATGGTCTACCGAACTGTTATGTATTATCTTATATGGTCTACCGAACTGCTATGTATTATCTTATATATGGTCTATGGTTCATTTTGTATTTTATATTGCTGTTGTACGGTCCATTGAATTGTTTTGAATTGTGTTATTTTTAGGTTGGAAACTACATCCACAATATGGCTACATTTTTTGGTGGACTTGTCATTGGTTTGGTGAACTGTTGGCAAATAGCTCTTTTGACATTGGCTACTGGACCCTTCATTGTTGCTGCAGGAGGAATATCAAACATATTTCTCCATAGGCTGGCAGAAAATATTCAGGATGCGTATGGCGAGGCAGCAAGCATTGCTGAACAGGTATATTAACTTGCCTGTGAACCGATAAGAAAATAAAACCTGTCAATTGTTTCTATTGATATTGTTGGCTGGGTCACTTTAGTTGCAAAATAAAGCATGCTTGGTTTTCAGAGTTGCATCCATCAACCACTGTAAATGAAGTTGTATATCCAGCTGAGCAGTGCTTGTTTTGCAGGCAATCTTATACATTAGGACTTTGTACTCCTTCACAAATGAGACCCTGGCAAAGTATTCTTATGCTACTTCGCTTCAAGCGACTCTGCGCTATGGGATTCTGATAAGTCTGGTGCAAGGTCTTGGTCTCGGATTTACATATGGGCTCGCCATATGTTCCTGTGCCTTACAACTTTGGGTCGGGAGATTCCTTATTTTGCATGGAAGAGCCAATGGTGGTGAAATTGTAGTTGCCCTGTTTGCTATTATTCTGAGTGGACTGTAAGCATGTTAATTGTCAGAGATTTCCTTATTTCTACACTTCTGCACTAATGATCATCTTACCCTGTGCTCTTAATTATTTGTAGTGGACTCAATCAAGCAGCAACGAACTTCTATTCCTTCGAGCAAGGGCGTATAGCTGCATACAGACTCTATGAAATGATAAGCCGTTCAACTTCTACTGTAAACCAGGATGGTCGTACCTTAAATTCAGTACAAGGCAACATTGAGTTTCGTAATGTCTACTTCAGTTATCTCTCCCGCCCAGAAATCCCCATCTTAAGTGGCTTCTACCTTACTGTACCTGCTAGAAAGACTGTTGCTCTTGTTGGCAGAAATGGTTCAGGAAAAAGCAGCATAATACCTCTCATGGAGCGATTCTATGACCCAACCTTAGGTATTATAGTTTTCTTTGGGTTCCTTAGGTATTATTAGTTGCAAGCTATTTTTTCTATTATCTTGTCACCTCAACTATGCTTATGGTTTACTCGTTGTTATGTGTCACAGGTGAAGTACTTTTGGATGGGGAAAATATAAAGAACTTGAAGCTAGAGTGGTTAAGAAGCCAAATAGGACTTGTGACCCAAGAACCAGCATTGTTGAGCTTGAGCATTCGGGAAAATATCGCGTATGGAAGATCTGCTACAACTGACCAGATTGAGGAGGCAGCCAAAACAGCTCATGCACATACTTTCATCAGTTCGCTAGAAAAAGGATATGAAACCCAGGTACCTTGCTGCTTTTATCTTAGAAGTTGCTGGAACGAGAATTTCTTTATTTATTTTTACAGTTCTGACATGTTGTTTAATTCAAACTAATATGAAATAGGTTGGCCGTGCTGGGCTTTCGCTGACTGAGGAACAAAAGATAAAGCTCTCCATTGCTCGTGCTGTGCTCTCAAATCCATCAATTCTTTTGCTGGATGAGGTTACTGGTGCTCTTGATTTTGAGGCTGAGAAAGCTGTTCAGGAAGCACTAGATGTTTTGATGCTCGGGAGGTCTACTATCATTATAGCCAGACGTCTCAGCCTTATCAGGAATGCTGATTATATAGCAGTTATGGAGGAAGGCCAACTTGTTGAGATGGGGACACACGAAGAATTGTTAAATCTTGATGGTCTTTATGCTGAACTTCTTAAGTGTGAAGAAGCAGCAAAACTTCCGAAGAGGTCAGTGCATCATCTCATATGCAACTAGTGATCCGCTACTTCCTTGGAAGTATAATTTTATGTTTGTGCAAACTTTCCTGATTCTTCTTTGGTGAACAGCTGTCGTTTTATTTTGATTTGAGTTCCTATGTTGATGTAGAAATATGATAAAAAATAAATCTGCTTATGTACGCGACTGCCACTATTACATTTCAACATGGCTACTTTGTCGCATCTTTACTTTTTTACTACCTCCGTCCTGGTTTATTAGTCCCTTTAGTATTTTGTGCCTACTTTATTGTGTTATATTGTCTGATTTGTTTATGTCCAACGGAACGGTGATATTTCCTCATTCTAGCTGCTTTATTTGTTTGTAACATCTATCTCTTAGTTTCTGTATACCGAACAAAGAATAGTGGCATTCTGTTTTAATATTATATGGTAATCTTGGACGGATGATGTTAAGGTGCAAATTGTTCTGATTCCTCTGGGCTCACTCATCTGTGCATTTGATATTGTACAAATTTTATTTTCATACACGTGACCTGCATGATGAAAGTGAAATATCTAAGTTATGTACATGTATATTTTGATTGAGCTGTTTGTGTCAAGCAATATGTGTAACTGCCTCTTAGCTTGCAGAAGAGCTGTTACTTCTGAATGCTTATTTCACACACAACATATGTTGGGGTTTCAGTGAAACAGTTTCAGTTCCTTGACATACCTTACCTTCTGTAAGCTCTGAATTATTTATTGTGCTATTAGCTTCAGATTGATGTCGCTCAGTTCCTTGTATATGCCTACTATAAGGTCTTAACAATTTACTTTGCTCCGCTGGCATAAAATGTTTGTTTGTCATGTCTGCAGCAACTGGCATAATACAATACTGATTTCATAGATCTGTTAGGTTTTGTTTGTCCTTTGAAGTGTTTATTGGTTTTGTCTGCTGATCAAAGCACTTGTTTTCTCCTAAACTGTTTCAGGACACCTATGAGAAACTACAAAGAGCCCAGCTCCTTCCAAATTGAACGGGATTCGTCAGCAAGTCACAGCTTCCAGGAGTCATCTTCTCCTATCATGTCAAAATCACCTTCACTTCAGAAAACACATGGTTTTCTTGCATTTCGAAATTCTGATGCTAACCCTAACTCACGTGAGTCGCCAAACATTCAGAGTCCTCCTTCAGAGCAAATGGCAGAAATCAGACTACCAATGGTTCCTTCTGAGAGAGCTCCATCCATCAAAAGGCAGGATAGTTTTGAAATGAAATTGCCTGATCTTCCCAAAATCGATGTCCCCCTACATCGACAGTCTTCAAATACTTCAGATCCAGAATCACCAATATCACCATTATTGACTTCTGATCCAAAAAATGAGCGTTCCCACTCGAAAACTTTCAGCCGAACTCTTGATATGTTTGATAATTTTCGTTCTGATCCATCAAAGAAGCATCAAATGAAGGCTCCATCATTTTGGAAGCTTGCTGAGCTTAGCCTCACAGAGTATTTTTATGCTCTGCTGGGGAGTGCTGGTGCTGCCTGCTTTGGTTCATTTAATCCTCTTCTTGCTTATACGATATCCTTAATACTGGTGGCATACTACAGAATAGGTGTCCGCGATGTACATGATGAAGTGAACAAGTACTGCTCATTCATTGTTGGCATGGGTATAATTACTGTGCTGGCTAACTTCTTGCAACACTTCTATTTTGGTATAATGGGAGAGAAAATGACTGAGCGTGTAAGAAGGATGATGTTTTCAGGTATGTAATGAAAGTTTCATTCTTGTGTCCTTGATGGTGCAAACCCTCCTTTTATAACATATTCTTGGCATAATATCCCCGTTACATGAAGCACATCTCATCAATATCTAATGCATTGAATAATGCTACAATGTTCTAACATCGTAGCTTAGTATTAGTAATTTAGTATAAAAAATGCCGTTGTACTGCCCAAGACTGATCTGTGATTGCTGCCCCTTTACTGCATTCCAGCAATTCTACGCAATGAAGTCGGATGGTTTGATGATGAGGAGAACAGTGCGGACATTTTGTCAATGCGACTTGCAAATGATGCAACCTTTGTTCGTGCTGCTTTCAGCAACAGGCTTTCTATATTCATCCAAGATACATCAGCTATTTTTGTGGCACTTCTTCTTGGTATGCTGCTAGAATGGCGGGTTGCTCTTGTTGCACTCGCAACCTTGCCTATCCTTGTGATTTCTGCAGTCGCACAGGTTAGCCCTCATCAAATTTCATCATTCTGATTCCTGACAATTGTAAGGCTATTTGTTTTGAAGCTTCCGTTTTGCATGTACGGATATATCTTTATACTAAATGTCTATGCTATGTTACACTGTTACAGTTTACATGATTTGTTTAGTTATTTCTTGGTAAGGTTCAAACTGTGTCCAAGTACGAGTTACATCGAAACTGGAATCATGTTTTCATGATATTGATATATCTGTTGGTGTTCTCGTTACCAGCCAATTGCAATACTTGATAGTGCCCTGATGGCATCTCTCTAACAACATTCCAACTTCCAAGTGAAGCAACCTCCTAATATCCCCTGCCATACCTGGGCTGCTAAAACAATAACATGCACAACATAACCAAAATTTCTAGAACAAGAACTTCACAGCTCTGTTGAACAATGAGTGCGCTTCCTAGTGTCACAGGCTTGCTGTTCTTGCCTTAGCTGTACAACTTCTGCTCTGTTGAGGCAGTTTACTAGCAGATGTCCCTGTCATCCTTAATTTGGCAGTAGCTATGTATGAAAGCTTGGTTCCATATAAAAACAAATATTTTTCTACATGGTATACTCAAAACTGAAGTCAGAGTTGCAGAATATGACATTACAGAGTTGGCTTTGTGTCGACCAAATTTTCTCTGGAACGGCATAACATCTTTCACATAGGTGGACATTTTTTTCCCACATAGGTGGACTTTAAGGCCGCTATACTAGTCCACCTATATTTTCATTCATATCACCATTTACAAAAAGTTAATTTCAATCGGCATACCACCTTATGCAGTCAAAATGGTCACTGGTGTGTCTACTGTCTCGGAGACTAAGACAGTATCATCGTTAATTATTTTAACTGCTTTTACTTTTCTGTTTCCGGCCCATTTAAGTTCAAGTACACGTTTTAATCCATAGTTGCATTACTCTTGAGTAAGTTATTACTGAGCTCTTATTAAACTGTACAATGGGGCTGATACTCGGATTCTTCCTTTCTTTTTTCAGAAAATGTGGCTTTCTGGCTTTTCTAGAGGAATTCAGGAGATGCACAGGAAAGCTTCTTTAGTTCTTGAAGATGCAGTCAGGAATATCTATACTGTGGTGGCATTCTGTGCTGGTAACAAAATAATGGAGCTTTACAGATTGCAGCTTGGAAGTATTCTCACAAAAAGCTTTGTTCATGGGATGGGCATTGGCTTTGCCTTTGGCTTCTCTCAGTTCCTTCTTTTCGCCTGCAATGCGCTTCTGCTGTGGTATACAGCCGTAGCTGTGAAGGCTGGGCATCTCAGCCTGCTAACAGCACTCAAAGAGTACATCGTCTTCTCTTTTGCGACCTTTGCACTGGTGGAGCCATTTGGCCTTGCGCCATACATCCTCAAGCGTCGGAAATCCCTCACCTCAGTCTTTGAAATTATTGACCGAGTACCCAAGATTGATCCAGATGATGCCAGTGGCCTGAAACCGCCTAATGTGTACGGGAGCATTGAGTTCAGGAGTATTGATTTTTGCTACCCAACTCGACCAGAGATGATGGTTTTGAGTAATTTCAGCCTTAAAGTCAATGGAGGACAGACTATCGCTGTGGTGGGTGTATCTGGGTCAGGGAAGAGCACGATAATTTCCTTGATCGAGAGGTTCTATGACCCTACTGCTGGCCAAGTTTTGCTGGATGGCCGTGATCTGAAGTTGTTCAACGTGAGATGGCTGCGGAGCCACATGGGGCTGGTTCCTCAGGATCCTGTCATATTCTCCACAACCATAAGAGAGAACATCATATACGCAAGACACAACGCTACAGAATCCGAGATGAAGGAGGCTGCCAGGATAGCAAACGCCCACCATTTCATCAGCAGCCTGCCTCACGGCTACGACACGCACGTGGGAATGCGTGGAGTGGACCTGACGCCTGGGCAGAAGCAGCGGATCGCCATCGCCCGTGTGGTGCTGAAGAACGCGCCCATTGTGCTGCTCGACGAAGCCAGCTCCGCCATCGAGTCCGAGTCCAGCAGGGTGGTGCAGGAGGCGCTTGACACGTTGATCATGGGGAACAAGACGACGATCCTTATCGCGCACAGGGCGGCCATGATGAAGCACGTGGACAACATTGTGGTGCTGAACGGTGGCAAGATCGTGGAGCAAGGGACGCACGACTCGCTGGTGCAGATGAATGGATTGTACATCAAGCTGATGCAGCCTCACTTCACCAAGGGGTTCCGGCAGCGTAGGTTGATATAGATGATTGGTGTGGTAGATCTTGTACATTACCTTACCCCAATGGAATTAAGCTAACCGGTTCCGCTTTGCTGACTGGTAACTGGCAAACATGGATGGAAGGTAGCTTCCTGTCGCTGCAAGACATGGTACAACTATTCGTGCATGGTCTGACAGAATAGGATTGTCAGATGGTATTCAATATTGATTATATGTTACTGGGGCTTTGATGGGGCTGAAATTCTATATTGGTATTTGTCATTTTGAAAATTACACCGGGGCGTGGAGTGGATGGAGCGCATCAGATCGGCTCCATCGTTGCATGATTTGGCGAGCGAGCATGCACTTTCTTCTCAAGACATTTGACATGTGCAGGCTGTGCTACCTATCCATTCATGTATGCCCTTTTTGTAACTGATGATTGTTAGATTGGGTTCCTACTTTGGCGCAGATTGGAACTAGAGATAATTGACCTCTTCTGCCCATTTAGGATGAGCTCTCTTGCTGGGTATGGAGGGTAGTTTGTCGCCGCGTGCTGATTGCAACGGCCGCCACGCAAAGGCCACCGATGCGCGATGTGCAGGCGAGCTGACCATCTCTGCCCCAGCAGTTCCAGTCAGTTGCCGCCCCCTCAACCCCCAGCCACCTTTGGCTTTCTCGAGCGGATCTGGGTCACGCCCCGGGGAACGACACAGGAGCGGCTTCCGTAGTGATATATAAAAAATTACACAGAATTGCTCAGGAACATGAGTTAGCAACGGCTCCCTGTAGATGGAATAAGGTTCTTCCCGCCTATCCCCCGTCCCAGTGGTGCGTCTTGTATTGTCGGTGGGCATGTCGAGACATGTCTTCGGTAGATCTGTCTTTGCTGGATTTGCTCGGACGTGGTTATTATTCGTCTACATTTGTGTGTCTTCAGGTTGGATCCTTTCGATCAATGCTATTCTTCATCGGCAGCGGTTGCTGTTCTGGTGCGCTGGTCCTATGGGGCCTTAGCACGACGACTTCCCGACTATCTACTGCAATAAGTTTTGCCCGGCTCCATTGAGAAAGGGGCGATGATGGTGACGCGCCTTCGGCTTAGCTTCGGTGCTTGTAGTCGTCGCTAGGTGGTCTGCTGATCTGGATGTAATTTTATTTTTCTGATGTTCGTTGTACTGCCATGATTGAAGATGAATTTATCAGAAGTTTTTTTTTAAAGCAGTACACAATTCATGCAACTTAAGATAAATACTATTGAAATTGTTTTCAGATGGAAAGTTAACGGTATACGATTTTGTTTCATAAAAAATGGTGTACCTTTTGGTATATAATCTACATTTTATTTGTTAAATTGATGGTCAAATTTGAACCTGAAAAACGTAAGTGCTCTTTTTTTAGATAGGAGGGACTAACCATACCAGATAAAGCGTACATAGTGTCATTACATTTAACTAGCTGCAGCTTTGATTCATCCAAGGATGGTGGTAGCAGTATTCAAAGAAGAAGTATTCAAGTAGTAATTATCTTGTCAGTGCATGTGATGGTGCATCGGTTGTAGTAATCTTTGTGATTACTCTGTGATGTTACCGTTTGCACAATTTGGCAGTTAGTGCTATTCAACTAAGTGCCGACCTGACTACCCAGTAATCTAGGCAGCATCCAAGGCCATTGTCGCGTGTTCTTGTATAGAGGGAGAGACACAGCTCACGTGCCTGCGCATGACCGCTTTTACCAATACCCTAAAAGCTGTGCTGCATCACATGAATAATCTATCTTTACCACACCCCAAGACCAAGGGCAAAACACCTATCTCAACCCACTTTCACATTTTCTCCTCTACACCAGCAAACGAATAGCACACTGTGAGAGCATCCCTTGTTCCGCTCACACTGCCAAAACACTAGCACAATCTCACACCCATAGAGGTCTAGCCATGGAGGTCGCCATGCTGGCCATCCGTCCCCTCCTCCCGAAGCTGGGGAGGCGAGTTCACCTTGGAGAAGCGCGTGAGGAAAGGCATCGACACCCTCAACAGGGAGCTGAAGCTGATGCATGCCGCCCTCGGCAAGGTGGCCAAAGTGCCGCCGGATCAGCTCGACGAGGGGGTCAAGATCTGGGCATGAATGGTGAGGGACCTGGCCTACCACATGGAGGACATCGTCGACACCTTCATGGTGCGCGTCTATGATGGATCTTCCAACCCAAAGAACAGAGTGAAGAAGTTACTCAAGAAGACAGGCAGATTATTTAGTAAGGGTAAAGATCACCATCGAATCTCCGATGCTCTAAAACAAGCGGTTGCTCAGGCTGAACAGTTGGCTGAGCAGCGCCAAAGGTACGAGGTGGAGACGCCAGACACCGGCCCTGGTATTAGCATTGATCCTCGCATCAAGGCTATGTACACAGATGTGACAGAGCTCATTGGCATCGAAGAACCACGAGAAGAGTTGATCAACATGTTACTTCAGGGTGATGATTGGTCGAATAATCCATTGAAGACGGTCTCAATTGTTGGATTTGGCGGGTTAGGCAAGACGACTCTTGCCAAAACAGTGTATGACAAGATCAAAGTGAAATCTGATTGTCGTGCCTTTGTGTCGGTTTCTCAGAATCCCGACATAAAGAAAATATTGAAGGATATTCTTTTTGGGCTTGACAAGGACAAGTATGCAAAGATATATAATGTATCACGAGAAGCAAGCCATCTCATAGACGAACTCATTGAATTCCTCAATGACAAAAGGTATGCCTCATTTTTTTCATGCTATAGATCGATAGCCGTTTCATCTAGTAAATTCAAAACCACGTTGTATTGGTTTATACACATCCTAATAGCACATACTTAATTGGTTAGTTATAGGTTTACAGTGTTTCATGTAAATTTTTGGGGTTTAATATGGTCCATTTTACCGTAAATATAACCTGTAGTCTCTCCTTATAAAATACCTTATATCTGTCTTCATTTATTGATTATTAATATAGGTATCTCATCATAATTGATGACATATGGGATGAAGAATCATGGGAAATAATCAAGCTTTCTTTCTTCAAGAAGAGTCTCGGAAGTCGATTAATCACGACAACCCGCAATGTCAATGTCGCTAAAGCATGTTGCACTTCTACTGATGATATTTATAGAATGAAACCTCTTTGTGATGATGTCTCAAGAAGGCTCTTCTGCAAAAGAGTATTTTCTCCCAGTGAAGGATGTCCTCATGAGTTGTCGGAAGTATCTCAACACATCTTGAAGAAATGTGGCGGAATACCATTAGCCATTATCACTATAGCAAGTCTTCTGGCTAATAATCACCGGATGAAAACAAAGGACCACTGGGATGCCGTGCTCAACTCCATTGGCCGTGGACTCACAGAAGATCGCAATGTAAAGGAGATGAAGAAGATATTATTATTCAGCTATTATGATCTACCTTCTTATCTTAAGCCATGGTTATTGTATCTCAGTATCTTTCCAGAAGATCATCTGATTATGAGACGCCAGCTGATATTGAAATGGATATCTGAAGGTATCGTTTATAGTGAAGAAGAAGAGACTAGCTTATATGAGCTCGGTGACAGCTACTTCAATGAGTTAGTAAACAGAAGTATGATACAGCCGATAGGTATTGATGAGGAAGAGAAAGTAGAAGCTTGCCGCTTCGTCATCTCAGTCTAAGCGTTGATGGATATGGGTCCCGACCTGGGCTGGTGGTAACGGAAATGGAAAAGTCTGTTGTTACTGCTGAATTGCTGATGCATTTCCATGTGTTGAAGTGTGCTGCTTCCATGGTATCTAAATTTCCACGAGGAGCCGCACCAAGGCTTAAAGGACTTCACTTGTGGTTCCCAGCTAGGTGGATCGTCCGTGGCGACAATGATTTGAGCATGGGGCACCTCCCGTCCCTCAAGGAAGTCTGGGTTTGCCTTTTGCATAGGGAAGCCAGCGATGAGGTGGTGGAGGAAGCAGATGCGGCTCTAAACTATTGACGCCGAATTCGCATCAGCTGACTCATGTGCAGCTAAACTGAATAGGATTGAATTCCCGTTTTCTGCAACTAGTGCTCCCAAGTGCCCATTCCTCTCTCCGGATTTCTGCAACTAGTGTTTTTCATTCCTTACTTTTCATAGTGTTCAGTAATCATTTCCCCACTTTTTTCTTCTTCATTTTCAGGTGGATCAAGGGCTCGATTCATCTTTTCCTGCAGCATCATCAGGTACAACCAATCGACTGTTCTTTCACCATTTTCCCTAGCTAGCGTGTTTCCTTAATCCTTATCCTGTTGGGTTGCAATGTTAATTAGTATGAAGTACGAACTCTGTTTTCTTTCTTCGTCCTGTTACATGCACTCAACTGAACCATTTGCATGCATGCATGTGTGTGCTTCCAAATGGCGTTGCAGGTGGGAGGAGCTAACTGCAGATTAGTTTCGTCGACGTCTACGACTCGACCGCTTCGATGAAGAATCGGACGATGAGGGTCTACAGCACTACGTTTGATCCGTCTTCCTTGCGCAGCGAACGAGATGAAGCGCTCATTATGTTTGTCCGCTCATGTCCGAATTCCCTTCTTGCTCCCGGCAGGCAATTCAGGAACCACCAAGTTTGTAGGGCATTTTGCCCATGATGATGAATTATTGCAGCTGGCTGGTTTGCCTATTAATCCTTCGCTGCCCTGCTTGATTTGTTCCTAGCAGCTTAATTTTAGACTCTATGCTGATTTGTTTCTAGCAGCTTAATTTCAGACTCGATGCCCCGTTCAGTTTGTACGATGATTTTGTAAACTTTCACCTTATATTTGTCATGTTGGTTCGATAAAACGAAATAAACAGGGGTTCGATCCGTCTTGCTGACCTGTGTCGACGGTTGGATCTTGGAACTTTGTGCTATAGTAGTTCATCGTACATGTACATACCAGCTGTGGTTGGAACATGGAAGACACGAGGATCGATTGGATGCTAGACCAGCTTTAATCCATCCCTAAAAGTTAATTAGACCTCCAAAAACCATGGGTATTAGGTGTTTTTAATTTTCAAGACCTAATTTAA